GAAAATCAAGTAGCAGATTTGCAAACCCAGTTAGCTGATTCACAAACCCAGTTAGCCGATTTACAAACCCAGTTAACTGATTCACAAACCCAGTTAGCTATGCTCCAAAATGACTACGGCCTTCTTCATCAGGCTTATGAGGCCCACAAAACACAACACAATATATTTAAATCTTGAGAACTTGATAGTCAAATTACAATCCATATGCAAAAAAGACAAATATCAGAGTTGTTAGCAGAAAAATTTACATTGCGTTTTTTGAATAGACGAGCTCAAAAGCAATTACAAAACTGTGAAGCTGATGGAGTGACAATTACACATATCTTAAATCTTACAAGAAATCGATATATCAAATAGAAAAATAAATGCAAGACTCTAGAAAATGATCTATTACTTGCTGATGTTCAACTGGACAACAAGTGGGATAAGTGGAAAACTTGGGCACGAAATTCTGAACAATTAATTTTGAATTTAAATCAACAAATTTTTACGCTACAGAATAATTTATCTATAAATATACAAGCAAATATGGAATTACAACCACTACTACTACCAAATTTTTCAGGTGAATATGATGAGGATATTGATATTTTTATTAGTCGATTATCGTCATATTTAGCTGGCACTGGTATAGACCCAGTTGCCAATCGGGATCAAGCATTTGGTATTCTTAGAGGGTGTCTATATGGGTGAGCATTAGAATAGTTTGATCGAAAAATTCTTGGTAAACGATAGAAACTTCACAATATTTTTGCAAATCATGGCCAGGCTAGTATAGGTGCTCTTCGAGAACGCACTATGGCACAGATGAATACTAGTAATAGCTTTAGAAATCCTTCAATTGCCCATAACTATGCAAATACTGCTGGTAATAATATAGTAACCGTAGGTATTTTCATGATTCCAGCTGAAGCTTTTACTGAAGATTGGCGCTTAGCTGGAGGACGTCTATCGGATAGACCTGCCAATGCTGTTAATGCAGGTAATGCTAATCCTATAGTATTTGGTGATATTCAGATTGGTCAAGCATTATATTGGCTCAGAAATGAATATCCTACAGTAATAAGTGAAAAGCGTAATTTAGTTTATGGATCATTAGCTCAGGGGGGTGAACCTATAGGAGACTTTTACTCAAAACTCTTAAAATATGGAAAAATGCTTAATCTTGATGAGCAACAGATTAAGGAACAATTTCTATGAGGTTTGTCTCCAGACTTGGAGGATGATGCGGAACGCATTAGTACTGAGCAACCATTAGCTGATCTTTTTGAAATTTTAGAGCAAATTGAAATGCGAAGAGCAGAGAAAAAATTAGAATTAGTTAGTAAAATACCCCAGTCTAGTTATAAATTATCATCTAAATTAATAACACCTACACAATCCCAATTTGTTTTTTCACAATCAGCTCCTCAGCAAATACAGCCATCACAACCATTGCAGATACCTCAACCTTATTATGGACCACAACCTCCTGGCATATATCAAAAAATGCAAGATATATTAATGGATAGATTTGTACAATAGATTACTGGGGAGGTTTCAGAATTTGTTCCTATCTCCAAGCCCGATTTGCCTCCAAAACCAGTAATAAAGAAAGTTGAAGTTGACTCCGATGATGAATTGGCCAATCTTACGAAGAAGCAGTTGAAGTTGCACGTAGCTAAAGCTGTTAAAAAAGCTACGAAAGCACAACACCGTTGCTCAAACTGTAATAGGACTGGGCATAATTCTCGTAAGTGTCCTCGAAAAAGAAGAGTAGATCCAAAAATAAAAAAGGTAATGTCCATAAGGTTACTGTTGGTTCGAGCTCTGAGTTGGATTCAGATACTAACTCTTCTGATAATAATTCTGATTCTGGCTCCGAATCGGGGTCCAATTTTGAAGAATCCTCGACCAAATCTGAATCTGAAAGTGACATTAAGGTTCATATTAGTAAGGTAAAAAAAAAGTAAAACATAAGAGCAACTCTACAAAATCGCCATCTGGGAATAAACCCAAGCAATCCAAAATCAAAAAAGAGAAAGCAAAGCTTCAAGCTAGAAACCCATTCAAGCCTTGTAAAAGAGACCAGAAAGAGACTCCCAATTCTGGTAAATCACGAAATAAATCCACCATTATTGATAAATCTTTTCAGAGAGTTGTACTAGATATGCTTGACGGCATTGCATCTGTAGATTGGATAGAAAAACTCAAAGCTAAAATTGGCACTAATATGCCAGCTCATGTTGAAAGTTTATTTACTTCAGCTCCACCTATTCAAAAATCTAATTTTAGTGAAACTAGCTCTGCTAAAAATTATAGAGAACCAGCTCCAGAAATACCTGATTCAGATGATGAGTTCATTGATGACCCTATGGAAATAGATTTTGTTCAGAGAAAAGATCCGGCTACAGATGTTGTAACTACAAAATGCAAGATCAAGCGACTAGTAATTCCAGCAGCTACTGTAGATCCTGGTGCTAATTTTGCAATTATGTCTGAAGATATAGCCAAACGATTAAAGTTGGTAATTGATACAAAAAATAAACATGACTTTAGAGGTATTGCTACTATTCCTACTGAATCTCTTGGAACTACCCGAAATGTACCAGTAGACTTTACTTCTGGTTGTACCATATACTCTGATTTTGCAGTGGTTAAATACCCCAAGCCGATGTTGATTTTACCTAATACGTTACTTGACAAATATAACTACGATTTACTTGCATCAAGACGGGAATTAAAACTTGTATGCAATGGTAAGGAGTTCTTTATCTGAAAAATATGCACAAAGTTGAGAATAATCTCAAAATGAACTGCGCAACTGTATCTCAGGATAATATGTCTCTGGTATCCGATCAAATTTCACAAGAGAAATGGCATGCTCCCGCAGATTTTAATATAGATTCTGATAATTCAACTTTTAAAAAAAACGCATGAGCTATGAGGAGTTAGAAAAATCGCTATATATTACTCTCCAGTCTAAAGCTGAAATAAATGGTCTTTGTGAAAAGTTGCAAATGCGTTATGAAAAGCTACTCGAATGTATCTCCTCTAGAGATGGTAGCGTAAATAAAGAAAAGATAAACTAAGTAGTAGCTAATAGGCGAGTCATATTTGCTTTATTTTTCTCATCTCTTCTGGCTTCTTTTTCATATAATGCATCCAGATCCTCACTACTTATTTTTTCTATAGAGTTATTAGTAGGTGTTGAATCAGATATGTGAGAGTGGAGCTCATTATTATATAATACAGAATTAGTCCGAGATTTGGATCTTCTCTTTTTTGTTTCTGTATTGAGAGTGGTAGATTCCAGTTGTAGGTTCAGAGAATTATGATTCAAAGAATTATCTAAGGACTTGCTTTGCAATAAAACCTCACTTTCAATTCGTAATCGAGAATTTATTTGTTGTCAGCGTTCTCGATTTTCTATATAATCAACAACACGAGAGTGAGATATGCGATATTTTTTTGCCATTGTATTTATTGCATCAGGTATTATACCTATTGATCCTTTAATTTCTTGAATCGCCTCATCCGAAAGAAATGTTGCATTAGCACTATAATATTTTTTATGGATACGTCCCATATCAACTATGTAAATGTTCTGCTTTGCAGAAATATTTTTATTATTACATATAAAGAAAAGTTTCGAAATGTTTTGAAATATTAGTTATACATATAGTAGTTGATATATTAGCAAATTTAATAGAGTATAATATTGCGCAATAAATTACGCAACGTAAAAAAGGCGTAATATAACGCAATATATTGCGAAAGATTGCGAAATGCATAATTACGAAATATTACGTAAGATTATTACGAAATATACCGTAAGAAAAAGTGAAATATATCGCAATAATTTACGCAATATAAACTTATTTCGAAATAATTCGAAATAAAGAAAAAAGCTTGAAATAAATTAAACAACTTAAACATAAATAAAGTTAATATAATCGAAATATATAATATTTGAATAATAAATAAAACACTTTAAATTATATTAAATAATTTCGACTTAGTTTGAGATAACTAAAACTATGCAAATAATAGATCTCGAACAGTTTTG